AGAAGTAACTCATTTAAGTTAACTCTTAAAAAGTAGAATGCCTATCAGTTTTACCAAAAAACATCAATATGTTGAGTTTTCTGCTGATTAAAGATGATGTAAGGCTGAGAAAGTTGTAAATATATGTGCCTCTTTTTATAAAACTCAACAGACTTAATTTCTCCTAAGCAGATAGGATAATATTTAAAAAATATCGTGATTTTTTCAAAGGAAAAATAATTTCATTTCATGAACATTTCAGGGGTCAATTACACATCTTCCGCCAATTTTGCCAAGACTGAGACTAATTTTCTAATAATCTTTGGACATTACTGTACAATCTCTAAGTATTACATTTTTTGTGCAAAGCTTTATATTTTTATGCAAGAGTTCTAAAGTGAGGTGGGTTAAGGATGAAATAACAGAAATAAGTTATGATTTGTGGAATTTCAGTGTGGTAAATTGTAAAGATAGATTACTTTTACTGTCATGAACCTTTTCCCTCTACTTAATAACTCAAGCACAGCATGAATAAAGCTTTTCAGATACCAGTAGGTTTACAATAATGAGTAGTAAAGTATCAATAACTGGAATAAGTTACTGAAGAAAAGCATAATCAGGGAAAGATAATCCAAAATGTTGACATTTTATAACTTCAACAAATCATATCAAAAATAACTTGTTTCCATGATGCCCTTGACTGTTCAACAATCCCGTTCATTTAAATCACACTGAAAGACGCCTATAATGCATATACTTCGTGGCGTAGTGGTTAAAGCAGTTGGTCTTGGACCAAACCTGTGCTATGGAAAGGGTTCGAATCACACATGAAGCTTTTTCTTTTTTTTGTTTTCAAATGTCTTAAAAACATGAGTAAAAAATAAATTATTTAAACAATGAAATACAAAATTTGATATATAAAAGATGATATAAACCATAAAATTTTGCAAAAAATACTACTTTTAGAATTGAGAAAAGTCATTTTTCAGAGCGGGGGATTGTCCTCGCCTAGTACGCCTCCATTCTTTGATAATTTTTTGTGTATCTTTATATTGAGCTCTTCTTCTAAAGGGGGTAAAAATAGTCTGAAAAGGACACAACACCCTAGCCCCTTTAACAACTATAACTTCCCTTCAACCAACGATGCTTTGTACCAATATTGATTAAAATTTGCCCAGTGGTTTTTGAGAAATATTTGAAAAATGTAAAAATTTTAAAGACGGATGGATAGATGACGGACAATGGGTAATCCAAAAAGCAAAATCAAAACACAAAGTAGTTTTTTTACTCAAAATTTCATAAGAATGATGGTAAGTTTTGTTCATTTTTGTTTTCCTCACATACCATAAATCTTGATGCCATCCCTGTTATATTTGGGTTTTATCTCCTGCAGTGAATTGATTTTGCTGAAGGTCCAACCAGTAGGTTCTAGCGCCAGAATATTTTTATACCGAACAGTCAACTTCTCGGAGTGTTCCAACAGAGCCTGCAGATAATGTTAAAGTTGTTAATATGAATTGACTTTGACAAATGACTTGCATTGTGCATTTTCATGTGATACTGTGAAATCGCTAATTTTTGTGGGGGGTAATTTTTGTTTTTTTCCAGGCAAGGAGATACCCAAAAATTCATGATCACCATTTAAAAATTTAATATGCATTTTTTTAAAACATTTTCCAAACATGAAATCAAGTCCCCACAAACCAATTATACTTACATTTGGCTTTAATTTTCCCATGGGTAAAACATGAAGACAAGAGTCGTTGAAATTCAGACTGAGCTTCCTTCTCAGGCTATCATCTTCTAGACAGTCTAGGATGTTCTTTTTGTCTCGTAAAACACAAATCTTACACTGAAGGGCCTCTGCGACAGCTGTAGATCACAAAAGAAGAATAAATTTAATAAAGGTCTCTAAAGCAGGAAAAAAACATATTTGACAGCTTGGCAATTTTTAAAGATATGCCTTTATACTATATTATTATATCCAGGAAGAAGTGCTTGTAAATACAGTATATGTAGGTGAAATAGATGAGTCCAATAAAGCACATTGTACCTATAAAGACTCTCTCTTTGCCTATGGTGTAGGAACCACATACAATGAGAGTCCTTGGATTTCTCTGAAGTTCATTCTGTACTAAATTGACCGTAAATGCTATCACTTCTTTCTGAGATGGGAAGGCATAGGTAGGATTACAGTACCTAAAAAAACACAATTAATAGCATTTATCTTTACCTTGAAATTAGAAATATAATTTCCTATTAAAAAAATACTCTAGTGATCCCTTCTTTCAATTTTTAATTTCACATTTCAGAAAAGTGTGCTCAATATTTATTATTCTTTTAAGTGTATGCTTATATCATTTTTAATTTTTTATGTCTTTAATATATTTCAAGATCCATATTTTATGTTAAATTTGATTAGCAAGTGTTACTATAAAGCTTACGTAGTATCTAGGTAAAGCTGTGATATTCGAACTCCAACCAAGGGGGGATACTTCTCCATGCTGGGGTCAGCTCGGAAATCTCCTGTGTGTAGAAACACACGGCCATCCTTCAACTTAAACAGGATCAGCACAGACCCAGGACAACTGCAATTGACGTACAAAGTGATAAATTATTTTACAAACAAGAAACCTATGAACTGAAACATAGGAAAACATCTGACATAACAGCTGAGTTGGTGGAAAAAATTCAATCACCTACTCTCTGCAAAATTGAGGTAAAGCAAGGTTTATGAAATATTGAAAGTTATACTGGGTCCTCCAGTATGTTTATTTCAATGATGTTGACTTTTTAATGTTGGCCTTTGATCAATTGAATCAAAACTCTTGTGTACTGTAAATCACTTTTTATTCGCGAGAACGTTATTTTCGCGTAATTATGCGAGACAGTGTGCTCGCGAAAATTTAATTCTCGTGTATAATAGTATTCCTTAAGAAAATATAAAGCAATAACCACAACTCGCGAAAATTTTGTCTCGCTAATCAAGAGTCAGTGACTATCTTGCGAAAATAAAGTGTCGCGAAAATTTAGTGATCTACAGTATATTTTTACCTACCTCTTCCTGTAAAATGAATATTGGGGCTTTAAAAATAAACACACAACACTGTGTTTGTGAAACACTGATGCCCTGATGGCAACTCATAGCAGAGGTAAGAATTTTTTTCAAAATTATGTAAATCTCCAAGGTCAATGGTCTTGAAATAAATAATGTAGGTACCCCAAATCTATACAGTGGAGCCTCATTTATCCGGACGCTTTGGTTCCCAGTCATTTTGTCCGAATATGTGAATTGTCCGGATACCTGAATCACCAGTTAAACAAGAGGCCCATGGGCCACATCGCTCACCTGAGAAGCTTTGACCATTCTGTTCTTTACGAGATTTCCCCCTTGTTATACATAATGCATCCCCATCCTACCCCACTGATCATAATTTAGACATTTTGAAATCTACACAACCCCATGATCCTTCCATGGGCACATATGTTTCAGCTTTTTTGGCCCAGTGGTTCCTGAGAAGAAGATTTTCAAAGATTTTTCCTATATATTTCTATGTGAAACTTTCATTCCCTATAATGGCCCCGCCCTTCCCCCGGGGGTCATGATTCCTACACTTTAGAATTTACAATACCCCAGAATGCTTCCACATAAGCTTCACTTTTTCTGGCCCTGTGGTTCTTGAGAAGAAGATTTTCAAAGATTTTTCCTATATATTTCTATATAAAACTTTGATTCCCTATAATGTCCCCACCCTTCCCCCGGGGGTCATTATTTGAACAATTTAGAATCTAAATTATACAAGGATGCTTCCACATAAGTTTCAGCTTTTCTGGCCCTGTGGTTCTTGAGAAGAAGATTTTCAAAGATTTTTCCTATATATTTCTATATAAAACTTTGATTCCCCATTGTGGCCCTGCCCTTCCCCAGGGGTCATTATTTGAACAATTTAGAATCTACATTATACAAGGATGCTTCCACATAAGTTTCAGCTTTTCTGGCCCAGTGGTTCTTGAGAAGAAGATTTTCAAAGATTTTTCCTACATATTTCTATGTAAAACTTTCATTCCCTATAATGGCCCCGCCCTTCCCCCGGGGGTCATGATTCCTACACTTTAGAATTTACAATACCCCAGAATGCTTCCACATAAGCTTCACTTTTTCTGGCCCAGTGGTTCTTGAGAAGAAGATTTTCAAAGATTTTTCCTATATATATTTCTATATAAAACTTTGATTCCCCATTGTGGCCCTGCCCTTCCCCCAGAGGTCATTATTTGAACAATTTAGAATCTACATTATACCAGAATGCTTCCACATAAGTTTCAGCTTTTCTGGCCCTGTGGTTCTTGAGAAGAAGATTTTCAAAGATTTTTCCTATATATATTTCTATATAAAACTTTGATTTCCCATTGTGGTCATTATTTGAACAATTTAGAATCTACATTATACCAGAATGCTTCCACATAAGTTTCAGCTTTTCTGGCCCTGTGGTTCATGAGAAGAAGATTTTCAAAGATTTTTCCCATATATTTCTATGTAAAACTTTGATTCCCCATTGTGGCCCCGCCCTTACCCCAGGGGTCATGATGTGAACAATTTAGAATCTACACTATACCAGGATGCTTCCACATAAGTTTCAGCTTTTCTGGCCCAGTGGTTCTTGAGAAGAAGATTTTCAAAGATTTTTCCTATATATTTCTATGTAAAACTTTGATTCCCCATTGTGGCCCCGCCCTTCCCCCGGGGGTCATAATTTGAACAATTTAGAATCTACACTACCCCAGGATGCTTCCACATAAGTTTCAGCTTTACTGGCCCAGTGGTTCTTGAGAAGAAGATTTTTTAATGACCCAACCCTATTTTTGTCTTTTCTTGATTATCTCCCCTTGTGAGGGGATATGTCCCTTCAGTTTAACAATTTAAATTCCCCTTCACCCAAGGATGCTTTGTACCAAGTTTGATCAAAATTGGCCCAGTGGTTCTTGAGAAGAAGTCGAAAATGTGAAAAGTTTACAGACGGACGGACAGACAGACAGACGGACGGACGGACAGACGGACGGACGACGGACAAAATGTGATCAGAAAAGCTCACTTGAGCCTTCGGCTCAGGTGAGCTAAAAAGACATACTAACATTTCAAAATTCTGTTCCGATGAAAAAGCGTCCGGATGCTTCAGCATCCGGATATCTGGCGTCCGGATATCTGAAGGTCCACTGTATACCCTTAGTCTTAATTTACAGGGGCATCAAGACATCAATTTATCATCACTATCATGTTAATGTCAAAGAAACACTGACTGATAGCTAGTACGTAACAAAATTACTCCTGGACATTCACAATTTCTTGCATGACCCTAAAAATTTTTCTGCATACAGTACTCACTGATTGGCCTCCAGGAATGTCAGTTCCACTCCATCCACAACACAGGGCTTGTTCATAGGCAAGGCATGAACAAACGACTCGTTCACTTTGATTTTGGAAATAACCAAATTAGCGGTGATCTATAAGAAGAGAGAAATATTCAAATTGTGTGTAATATTTTTTTCAATGCAAAACCTTAATTATTAATTTCTCTTCTAAAAAAATTCTTTCACTTAAAATCAATTACATGTACAACGTATTAATAATATGGTAATATTACATACACTGGTCATATTCATAACCAGAAGTCTCTCTCGAGAGTGTAGCTCTACTGGTTTATACTTAAAACAAAGGAAGAGAAAAGAAGCAGTTGGGACTTGAGACTCTAAATCAGCAATAAAAAGAAAAATAATCATTGCCACTCATCAAAATAAAAACCGATGCACAGAATTATGTATCTTAGTGTAGTCTACTTGTGAGTCAAGTTATATTGAAATCGAACCAAAACTGTAGAAGAAGCATTTTGAAACAATTTCACAGAAATTTCTATTTTTAGTAACCACGGCAACACCGTTCATCGAAATCAAAAACCAATGCATAGAATCATGTATCTTAGTGTATTCTACTTGTGTGCCAAGTTATATTAAAATCGGACCAAAACTGTAGGAGAAGCACTTTGAAACAATTTCACAAAAATTTCTATTTTTAGTAACATCGGCAACACCTTTCATCGAAATCTAAAACCGATGCACAAAATCATGTATCTTAGTATAGTCTACTTGTGTGCCAAGTTATATTGAAATCAAACCAAAATTGTAGGAGGAGTAGCATTTTGAAACAATTTCATAGAAATATCTATTTTTAGTAACCACGGCAACACCGTTCATTGAAATCAAAAACCAATGCACAGAATTATGTATCTTATTGTAGTCTACTTGTGTGCCAAGTTATATTGAAATCAAACCAAAACTGTAGGAGGAGTAGCATTTTGAAGCAATTTCACAAAAATTCCTATTTTAAGTAACCATGGCAACGCCGTTCATCGAAATTGAAAACCTATGCACTAAATTATGCATCTTAGTGTGGTCTACTTGTTTATCAAGTTATATTGAACTGTAGGAGGAGTAGCATTTTGAAACAATTTCACAGAAATGTCTATTTTTAGTAACCATGGCAACACCATTCATCAAAATCAAAAACTGATGCACAGAATTATGTATCTTAGTGTAGTCTACTTGTGTGCCAAGTTATATTGAAATTGGACCAAAACTGTAGGAGGAGTAGCATTTTGAAAAATTGTTTACAGACAGACAGACGGACAGACGACGGACGCATTACTATCGCATAAGCTCTTCTGGTCTTTGACCAGTAGAGCTAAAAAATCTTATTTAATCACAGATTACTTAATGAATAAGATCAATTAAAGACTTCCCCTTATCTTGACATAACACATCTCTGGGTAGTGTCTTACCTTACTGCAGTAGATTGGCTGTGAGAAGGACTTGGTCATACCCATGTAATGGTCATAATGAAAATGGGAAAGAATGTACCCCCTACAACCTGGGACGACTCCATAGCTAAATGCATCCACTGTGAAGCCAGTATCTGAAACAAAATAACTGTAAACATCTATGGTGCTTAAAACTGAAGCACAGTATTTACATGTAGCTTCTTTTAAAAGCCTATTAAAAACTACAGAGCAAGGCTGAATATATTAAATTACATTCAATTATTGCGATATCAAATTTTTTTGCTTTCATTTACATTTTATAACCATTTGGGATATGATGTTTTTGTTAGCGTGTACCTGGAACTTTCTTGTAGAATGGACAATTCTTCTTGCTATAATTGTTTGGCTTACTCTGTTGACTCTCTGCCGAGGGAACTGTAAGCTCTGACACCTTCACCTCTTTAACAGATTTCTCCACTGCCTTTGGTTTGCCTTTCTTATCTTGCTTTGACATAAGAATTTCCATTGCATTTTGCTTACTACTCTCTAGAGTCAAGTTTTTATTAGTTTTGTGGGAGTCCACATTACTTAACTTTGTAGCTGTACCTTTAGAGGAACCAAACCCACTGTCCAAAGCTGAAGAAATATTGGTTAAAACAGAGCTGGAAGAATTATTCTTATCAACTATCGTCTTACTATCTGCTAGCTTTCGTTGACTCCTTCTTAAAACACCAAAGCCTTCTTCTGATGGCACAACCTCTTGACTTGTTGAACCATTCACTTTGTTGGTAACTTCATCCAGTGCATTTCTACTGACTCTAGAAGTCACAAATTCACTTTTTTTAGTAGTCACAGTACTTGTTTCGATATCTGAATCAGAAACAAGTGTTGTAAAGGTGACCTGCTGTTCTACACTGGTTCCCGATGCAGAAGATCTTAAATTCTTCCCAAAGAAAAACGAAGTCAGAGAAGTTTGTTTGTTGCCCTTATGCCCATTGATAACACTGCTATCATGTGTTGTTTTCTCCAACTGTGATTGTTTTCCTTGGGATTTAGAATGAATACCTAATGACATATTACCCTCTGAGATCTGTTTACTAGGGATGAGCTTTATACCTGACTGACCCTTTTTCTTCTTCCCTGAGTTTGGCTTCGGTGGCAACCCATTCTTCTCAGCAGATTTCTGTGAGGTTTTCAAATTTGTGGGTAAACTTTGTCGCTTCCTGACTGAGGATTTTTTTGAGGAGGTAGATTTCTGTGACAAGCTTTTCCTCCCTGAGTGTTTCTGAGAGCTCCCTGAGTTTTGTGAACATCTTTGTGGAGTGAGTATTCTGGCCCATTGCATTTTCTGAGACAGAGAAGCAGTACTTTCACAATCTTCAAAATCTGAATCTGAATCAGAAATATATAAACACACTTCCTCTTTGTTCAATGTATTTTTTGGACTTTCTAATTTTTTAGCTTTTAAGCTGTTGGCTTTCTCCATGCCAACATGGTCATGTTGTTTATTATTCCCAATAGATGTGCATAGCTCATTGTCTGCCTTTTTCTCTTGAATTTTGTTCTTCTTCCTTGGACTTGCCTTCATTGGTGACAAAGACTTCCTCTTACTCTTCTGCATCTTTTTATTCTGTTCACAAATTTCATTTTTTCCACATGTCTCATCTTGCGAAGAAAAACAAAGGGTGTTATCACAATTCCCAAAAATATCCTTTTCTTCCAGTCTTTGTAAGTCTTTTGCATCATCCTCTTCTGTAGAGAAACACATGGTGCTTTCTGTCTGTAAGCCACCATCCTCCTCCTCCTCCTCCGGCAACAAACTGCTGACCAGTCCTTCATCATCATCAGACTCCTCATCTGACGAGACTCTATCTATATCACTGTCACTCTGAGCAGCATCCAAAATGTCCGATAAACTTCGTTGACTCAATAAATCTTCACTTCCACCATCTGACCTATTATCGTCATTGATCTGGCTCCTATTTTCTTCTGCTTTTGAAATCTTTTCCTGATTTGGAACACACTCTTCTGCAAACTTTAATTCCTTTCTTGCTATTTTGTTTTCCTCTAAAATATAAATGAATCTCATTGATTTTTACAAACTCAAAAATGATTTCATTAATCAAGATGTAGCATTTTAATTTTTTCATTCAGCTTTATTGAAAAAGTAAATCTAATTTAAATGCATGTTAAGATTTTAATACCATGTGTTTACAAAGTACATGTACAACTTTTTGCTGCATTAGAATAATACATATATTCGCACATCATGTTCATGTGAAAAAATTGTTCTAATAGACAGTTTAGTTCCAATTTTCTACATTACCCTGATTTTCTATACACTCTTCTCTCTTTGTACATCGAGCTAGTGCCAGTCTGTAGTGGGAGTACTCCCGATAGTGACTTTCTATTGTACTGTCACATGACAAACCTTCTGGGCAATCTGGAAATTTCAATCAAGAAATATTTCATCAGTTAAAAATTTGTGTAGTGCCACCAACCTGTATAAAATTTTTAATTTAAATACATTTAAAGTCTCTTTCTAACATAAACATATATTCATATTAAAAACCTAAAATATTATCACCTGTACAAGACAATTCAAGCTTAACAATTTATGATTGGGGTAAATTACATACCTGCCTTGGGCTGTAACTCAGCCTCCATACATTCTGTGACATGCCATGTTGGTGACAAAATCCCTAAACAAGCCAGGGGCACCTGACAATTCGGACATACACCCTGGGGACGTGTAAGGGTCTGGCTGGTCTTTGACTCAATGGGTGATTCCTTGGTTTTCTTCTGGGGAGTTTTCTGACTATTTCTGACCTTTGTTGGTGTTTTTCTTTTCCTCTATTAAGACAATGATGAAAAAATTCATAGACAATATTTTTCTTTTAATTTGTAGAATACATGATTAACAATTTAGTTATCTTGGAGCATAACAAAGATCTATCAGATTGTTCAGATGTGCTAAGTGTTTCAAATTTATTTTGGCTTGAGGCCCAGTATAAATAAGAATCATGAACCTTGGTTTATTCCATTGACAGATTTATCAAACAGGTAACAGACTATGACAAAAAGATATTTAGAAAAAAAAGTCTTAATTATTTGTCAGATTTGGCCTGTGGCAATTATACCTTATCTTGGGAACTATTTGATTGTTGTTTATTTGACGGATTCTTCTTCTTATGTTTCGCTGCTGCTCTCTTTGGTTTACCTACACTCTGTTTGACTTTCTTGATAGATTTGTAATCCCAAATGTCATCTTCATCCTCGTCCATATCACCAGTGTCCAAGAAGAGTGATCATCTATCAGATATCTTCACTTGTCTTCATTTCTTTGCATGCTACACAAAAACAATTCACAATTTCTGTTTCAAAAATACAAGACATGCATGTTTATAAACATATTGTGCAATTCCTATAAACATGGATAAAATAAGCTCTTAATGTCAAAACACACACATATAATCATTAATCATTAAGAAAATTTATCCTATTCTCTGTTGAGAGGCTAATCTTATAAATCAGGAGCCATCAACTTCTCGACAGAGAATACATTTTCTCACTTGCAAAATCACATACACTGGAACAGTGGAAGGAAATGTAAATATGAAGTTGGTACATGTAAATATAAAAAAAATAACATATGCACATATTCAATATTTAATAAATAGTAACTTCGAGTGCCCTGTGCCAAACGAGCAAGTGATGAAAGGCAAATTTTATAATTATGGCTTATGCAACCTGATTTGCATGCTCATCAAAATTTCTTAATACCTGCCATAAAATGCCCAGTTTTACAAATTCTTATCACGGATTAGATAATTCTCTGTAATGTTCGCCTTGTCAGATAAATATGCCAATCTTCTCAAGCGTTATTTAACTCCCACGAAACTCAAAATTAGGAAAGTTTACCTTCTGACATTTTATTTCGATTCTTGCGCCATATATTCAACTTTCTATCTCTTGAACGAAGAAGAGTTCCAAAACATAATTTCAAATATCAAAGTAAAATTTTTAGATAGTGTTATCGTGTCTTTTTTAACGTCATTATATATTTTTAAGAATGTCAAATATCAAAAAAGCTCACTCCTTATAATTGACAAAAAACAATGGCTATTAACGTGAATTCGGTAATCGAAATAGTTACTGCACAAAGTATCAAAAGATATCCGGAATGCTTCAGAGGTGGTTTCTATTTTAGAGTTCGGAGTTTATTTCCTACTTGATTTTTGCGAGCAAAAGTTTCTGATTTTTATGTTACTTGCTTTTCATTTAAAGAAAAAAGGTAACAATTCCCATTTGTTAAATTGCCGTCACTAGAATGGCCATTCTCGTGCCAGTCTATTGCCGAATGCCGTCTACAAAGAGCAAAATCTTTAACATTTTCTGCCTTTTAGCTTTTCTAGACCCAGCAGAATCGCTTGATTTAACTAAATAGCACGTAATTAGCCATATACAGGTCCAGGAAAATCACTATATTTAGCTATATAGCTAAATCTACCTATATAGCTTTATTTACCTATATAGCTTTATTTACCTATATAATGTAGCTCTATTTAGCTATTTCAGAGAAAATTTCTGTTTTATGAAAAGCAGACAAAAAGTCGCATAATGAGCAATATTAGTTTTCAACTTTGAAATGATTTTCCTGGACCTGGTAGTGGTATAGCTTTATTGAGCTATAGTAATTTTCTTAAGTTATTGCTTTTTAATGCTGATTTCTCACATATTTCTTCGAAGAAGTAGATTAAATTCTTGCAGGGATTGATAGACAAAAAAAACCCATCCAGATAAATGAATCAAAATATAATGTAAACAGGTCCAGGAAAATCACTATATTTAGCTATAGAGCTTAATTTACCTATATAGCTTTATTTACCTGTAAATATAGCTTTATTTAGCTATTTTGGAATAAGTTTCTGTTTTATGAAAAGCAGAAAAAGAGTCGCATGTAAATTATGGCTGATGTTTTTTTTAAAATGTTTGATAAAACAACCTAGGGCAGAGATAGTAAAAACATTGCCTCTTTTAAACACATTTTAACCAAAAAAGGCATATCTATTGTTTGGATAGCTGGAAGTGCGGTGAGGCATGACTCAGTGTAATTGCCTTGCATTGTGCTCAATTATTACCAATCAATTATCTTGTTGACCAAAACTGCTTTTCTTTGTTAGAATAGCTGCTTAATCACAGCTTAAGTGTTATACATAGCCCAAAAACTTTTAGATCTTTGATTGCAATTGCACAAAAGGAGAAACATTTTTTTAAGTGGGTTTTTGTTGAATTGTTTTCAGTCCATTTCAAAGTTGAAAACTTAACTAATATTGCTCATTATGTGACTTTTTGTCTGTTTTTCATAAAACAGAAATTTACTCTGAAATAGCTAAAATAAAGCTATACATGTATTATATAGGTAAATAAAGCTATATAGGTAGATTTAGTTATATAGCTAAATATAGTGATTTTCCTGGACCTGGTAAAAATTCATTTTGTAGTGAAAAAGACCGTCTGGATAGGGAACGCAGAATTCCGATAAAATGAGACAAAATGACATTAAAAAATTCCGTTCCCTTGAAAAATCATCCAGAAAATGAAGTGTCCGGTTATCTGAAGGTCCACTGTATTCAGATAGGGCAAGTGAATTTTGATCATCCACTTGCCCTTGGAAAAGTGCCTAAAAATCTATTTGTCAGCCCCTGATTTTGTCCTAACTTATAACCAGCCAATCTTTTATAAATTATTTCCTAAAGTTATTGTGTGGAAACAATAATTGCTCTAGCTCCAAAACTTTTAATTTAAAATTTTGAGTACAAAGTTTCTTATGTATTTTGATATATGCTATATGTTAACAACATGTTTTTGGAGTTCTTTCTTAAGATTCATAAATTTCCTCATGTCTATATGAAGGCATATTACATTATTTTGCAGAACTTTTTTATGTTTTTCTTTTTACATTTTAGGATTGAGATCAAAGGAGGGCAGATGTATTTATAGTTGAAGCAATAGACATTGTATGAAGTTCCTTTACTAGATGACACCTTGGCAAGCAGTGTTGTTCTTTGTTTGTGGCTGTTTAACATCATATTTGTTTCATCTTTTCCTGACTAAAAATTATGCCTCAAGTCAAATTCACAAACAACAATTAAAACTAGCAATTGGAATAATGTCAGCACCTGAAAACTTTGAACACAGAGATACGATAAGAAATACATGGAAGCCAAAAGCAAGCAAAAACATGCAGGCATGGTTCATCATTGGCAATCAGGATTGCCAAATTCACCCAGAAAATAGAATTGATAAGTACGGATGTGAAAAATGGAATCTTAAATTTCAAGATCCACATCTTGTCAGAAACAACTTTCTTGCCAATGTTACCTTGCCAAGAAACACAAAGCCAAGGAAACCTGGACGACATATTGTCGATAGACTGAACTTCAAAGTGATGTCTGATGTCCTTGTGAAGAGAATTGGTATAGCTTCTGTTGTGTTAAATCTTCAGTCAGAAATTACTGTTCAAATCTTAGAAGCATGGTCTGGCAATGTTGTTGCAGTCACACAGTTTTCAACCGTAGATAAGGGAATTGAAATGGAGCACTGTACATTTCAACCAGTTTCTAGTGTGATTTTTCACAAGAATTATGAATATGTTATAGAAATTGAAAATTTCAGCAATCATGGAAAGATGTCAGGATTAGAAATGGACACAGTATTAAATGATTTTGATGGTGCAATATACTATCAAACAAAAATTAAAAGTGATGATATTATTCTACCAAATATGTGGCTTGAAGTTCAAGATGTTTCTGATGATGAAAATTTCAAACATGCAAATTTTCTGGAAAAGGAGTGGAAACAACAATCCAGTGATATTCGTCATAGACTTAAGGCAGAAGCAGAAACGTATGAAGACATTTTATTTGTTGACACTTTTGATGTTTACAGAAATTTACCAAAGAAATTACTATTATTTCATCAATGGTTGTTGAATAACTCTTTGCCAAGTTTTGTTCTAAAAACTGATGATGATTGTTTAATTGTTTTGGATTCAGTTCTTCAGTATATATCAAAGCTAAGTGAACAAAATGACAACTTTGTATGGTGGGGAAACTTCAGAAAACAGTGGTTAGTGCAAAAATTTGGAAAATGGGCAGAATTTTCATATGCTGCTGATGTGTATCCAGCATTTGCTTGTGGTTCTGGAAACATCGTAAATGCAAATGTACATAGATGGATAGCTAAAAATGCAGACCATTTACATACATACCAAGGAGAGGATGTGTCTATGGGGATATGGATGGCAGCAATATCCCCTGTTCATTTTGAGGATAGGCGTTGGCAGTGTTCAAATAGTTGTACTCAGGACTCATTGAGTATTCCAGAACTTAAACCTTCAGAGATTAAAGAATATTGGAAAAATATACAGCTTTGTAATAATCCATGTAACTGCAATAATTGATTTCAAAAGCTCATAAAAATTGAACAAAAGTTGTCTCTTCCTTTTTCATTAGTTAGGGACTAGTGAGGAGAGAAGCATATCAGAAAACCTTGGCTATAGTGAAAATGACATTGAACTAAAAAAGAAGTTGTCTAAGATCTTGCATTATTCCCCTTTTTTGAGATCTACTTGAAGTACTGTTAGTCAGCATGACCCCATCCCCCAAAAAGTAAATCATCATCCCCCTCCCCAATACCATTCAGAAATTCTTGATCAATTCCAACAATGGTGTACTGATTTCATGAGAGAATGTATTTACATTCACGAGGCATCAAATTTAAATTACCATTTTTTGAGAAAAAAAATAATTACAGAGAGACATTGTATAGAATACAGGTGATTCTTTCAAAAGTTTAACATACTACTGGGGCAAAATTGATATCATGTTACAAGAATACCAGATTAGCTTGAAATGTTCAGGTCTAATTATGCACTGAAAAAATGTATGCCCCATTGATCTTTGTCCCATTAATGGATATATAATCCAGGGAATGTGTAATGTTGGACATTTTTTAAGAACTCGTAAGAAGCAAACTTACATTGATGAATTAAAAAGGAGAGATAGATGAGGAGCTCTGTAGATTTGATGGTTTTATTTTGGTGTATGCAGCTAAATGTATACCATCTCCTTTAAAATTTGTTGCATCTTTTAAAAAAGTCTGTTTTCAATTAATTATAGACCCTAAATATAGATTTTGAAAAAAGGATGGGAGGGGAACTGAATGAGGAAAAACTGAAAATATTACTCATTTTCCTCAGATTTATTAAAAGTGTCTCCTACATTGTACAAACTTGACCATGCAATTTCATATATTATAATTTCACAGAAGTAAGTTGCTTCATGTTTCATGATCTTTTTCATACATGTAGCTACGTATATACTATAGTAAGTATTTAACAGGTACGGAGTCAGTATCATGGATGTCTTTCTCCCCGCTATTTTTTAGAATCTTAACTTTACACTATTGATTATATTCATTGAACACCCCCCCCTTTGTTACAGTACAGTCAAATAAGGGTAGCTATTATAATATATAAATACAATTTGATAGAGAAATCCTCCCCACAAAAATAGAATTTTTTTATTTTGGACAATTTTCTGTCATAATTTTCGGGTAAGTTGAATCCTCCTTTTCAAAAACGATACTACATCCTTAAATTTTATCAATTTATTAATTAACCATAGTCTTCAATTTGGGAAAAGTCACTTTACAGCCGTCAATGTTAAAATCAGAAGTATAGAATTAGTCTGGCAGAATGTTCCATATAATCTAAAAGAAATGCAATTAAGAAACCACTCACAGCCAAATCACATACTTCACACATATCTCAGACTCCACGCATTGTTAAACTAAATTGATAAAGGAAAAAAATAGGATCGTTCTCATTACTACGACACATTACCTACCTATATAGATAGTGCGACTCCATGTGGGAGTCTACGTCTGCTAAAACAATAATATCAAATTCAAAGATAAAAATCCCCTATTTGTACCCATTTAACGAGGCTTTGCCTTGTGTTCATTATCAAATTAATGATACTAATAATTAGGTCTAGTATATATAGAATCAAATCTTTGGAGACCACGCTTAAATAAATGAAGAACACAATATACGAGCAATGTGCGTTTTAGCTGCAGAACTGCCGATCTCTATGGCAGAAAATATAAATATGTCTTTGTACCGCACTGTCCCAGACGCTTGCAGCTACAATATTCAGATTCTGCAGGTAACTAATGGCAGACTAAAACTATACATGCAATAAAGAACTTAACTAAATCGTACCTACCTGTGCACCTCACCGAAAGTACAAGGATGACATGAATTTTACTAAGAAAATTGTTGGTATCCAAAGGAAGTCCGAGGGTTGGAGTTTGTCAAATTCAAATCAATTTCCAAGGTCAAAGGTCAAATTTGGTGTTATCCAAGGAAAGGTCTTGTCAAAAACACGTATGGTAAAAGTGGGTCAAACTCCGAGGTCAAGAGTTCACATTTGGTGGTACCCGGAGAAAGGTCTTGTGACAAAAAATACACCTGTGAAATTTAAAGTCATTGCCCAACCCACGCAAAAAAAGTTATTGCCAAGGTTAAAGTTTTTGCTGATAAACACAGACAGACAGACAGAGCAGAAACTAACAAACAATATTTGCAATATTTTTTGAAAAGTTAAACTGAATTCAGAATTGATAGAGTAATACAAATCGAATTCTATTGCCAACAAATTTGGAGCCAAGAACTTTAATTTAGAACACTTTCTAAAACCAAAAAGCTGACTACACAGTATATCAAATGTAATTTTTTTAATCCTATCCCTCACTCATTTATTTATTGGCGTGTCAGATATACATATATGCATGTGCCAGTGTCATATTATGGATATAAATCTTGGCAGAAGCAGAATAACAGCGAAAGCCAATTCAGATGTGGGAATATTAAATATTAGGTTACTATAACATATGATTTTGTAGATTGCATGAAAAATGCCATCAATGGGGGTTATTAACATTTTATGGTCATATCTTGACCTCGCCTGGATTTTAATATTGAAGTGCAATGTCTTCGATCAATTCATGGGACGAGAAAACACGGAAGCAATAGATATTAATCGGGGGTCCTTATCTTTAGACTTGGTTTTTCAGTTGACGGCGACCATTAATGGTTTTTTAATAAAGGAAGATGAATGATACTTCAATTCCCTCAGCACCATCACTTAAAGACACTTTAGGAAAAAAATGTTCGATTATGCCGTGTAATGTATCACTGAAAATGGTTTGGTGTTTTGTTATTATGATCATATCTTAAAAGTAGCTGTTAAAGTTGTACAAGTTTCCCCCCAAGGTGACATAAAAACTGAGGTCTTGCACAAAAAAACAATATCAAGGCAATTCGAAGAAAACAATTATAGAGATATGTATAACCTTGACTATGTTTTCCCAGATATCCAGAGAATGACTGCACCTTTCCTGTGGAAGAAACTTCTCCACGAAGACAACAAAAACTTTCCTGGATTTTCTCACACGGGAATATATAACTTGATAAAGGAAAAACTTAACACATTCATTACATATTTATCAAAATTACATTTTAAACCTTGTATGTTTAAAAAATCAAACACATAAATTTCCCATTGTGGTTGATTAAAACACCTTTATGTACATCATGTCCGAGAATAATTGTCTACTGGATGGCTGATTATGAACCTGTTATTCTTGAAAAAAAAATTTTTCACTGATTTTACTCCAAGTTTATTCCACTGCAAGTATACGAGATCCCAATCTGGCTTCATCTTAGCAGAAAACCCTACTCTGGAAGATCATGATTTGAACTTACTTATAATAAGCTTTTCTACAGTTTTTATCCTTTCCGACACCCTGGTTCTTTAGTAGATTTTTTTTTAAATTCCACATTTTCCACATTTGAATTTCTTTCAGCCAAAAATGCTTTCTGACAATATTGGTTAACACGAGCGATGAGGTTCTAAGTAAGAAGGCGAACAGGAGGAGGAAGTAACGTTCAAACAGACAAGAGAATGTCAGACTAAATGGGATAAGAAAAGTACATTTTTAAGCTCAGGTTAGCTTAAATGAAATAACAACAGTTTTTTGGTTCATTTTGTTCCAATTCCAAATTTGATATTGCACATATTTTAATATAATTATATCACAATATCCTGTACAACTGTGTCATTTTGGAGCGTAAAACTCTTGAAACAATAATTCCACAGAAATTGTAAACAACTGCAGGAATACATTATAAAAGATTTAATCAAGGAATTAAACCTCTTGTTTAATTGTGTTTATTTGAGGAAAAATCTGTCCATAGAAAGACTTATTTCATAATGCAAATGCTGAATGGTACTAACATTATATAAAACTTACCTCGATAGCGTAATGATGTTGACATACTTTCATATAATCATATAATCAGCTAATAGGTCGTGTGCACACAGAGGAAGGCAAAGGACTACGTCTCGACATTGTAAATTTGACCCTATCATAAGCTCTCTAGTTAGCAATAAAGCTCAAGGGAAATTCACTTGAAATTACATCAAAAACTTTTTCAAGGTACATCTTGCATCCTTTATTTTGTAAATGACTCTCTTGTGAACTGACATAATTTCCCTCCATATAATCAATGTAAGAACTGAGAACTATATAGTGCGGCATGTCAAATGTTGCAATGTTCGATTTTTAGCTCAACTGAGCCGAAGGCTCATTTGAGCTTTTCTGATTAAAATTTGTCCGTTGTCTGTCTTCGTCGTCGTCGTACATATTGTAGTCGTCGTTGTTGTCGTCGTAAACTTTTCACATTTTCATCTTAATTCTTCTCAAGAACCACTGGGCCAATTTCAAATAAACTTGGCACAAAGTATCCTTAGGTGAAGGGGATTCAAGTTTGTTCAAATGAAGGGTCACGCCCTTATTCAAGGGGAGATAATTCAAAAATAGTAAAAATTTGGTGGTATGTTTTAAAAATCTTCTTCTCAAGTACCACTGTGCCAGGAAAGATGAAACTTATATTGAAGCATTCTCAGGTACTGTAGATTCAATTTTGTTCAAATCATGACCCCCGAGGGGTAGGACGGGACCACAATGGCCGATGAAAGTTTTACATAGAAGTATATAGGGACATTCTTTAAAAATCTCCTTCTCAAGATCCACTGTGTCAGGAAAGATGAAACTTATAGGGTAGCATCCTCAGGTAGTGTAGATGCAAAATTGTTCAAATCATGACCCCCCGGGGTAGGGCGGGGCCACAATGGCTGAACAAATTTTTACATAGAAATATATAGGAAAATTCTTTAAAACTCTTGTTCTCGAGAATAACAAAGCCATAATTGATCATATTTATATGGAAACATCCTCAGGTAGTGTAGATTCAGATTTGTTCAAATCATGATCCCCGGGGGTAGGGCGGGGCCACAATGGCCGATCAAAATTTCACATAGAAATATATAGGAAAATTCTTTAAAAATCTTCTTCTCAAGAACCACTGTGCCAGGAAAGATGAAACTTATAGGGAAGCACCTAAGTAGTGTAAATTCAGATTTGTTCATATCATGATTCCCGGGGGTAGGGTGGGGCCACAATAATGGCTGAATAAGTTTCACGTAGAAATATATAGAAAAATTCTTTAAAAATCTTCTTCTCAAGAATAGCATTGCCATGATTATTCATATTTATATGGAAGCATCCTTAGGTAGTGTACATGTAGATTGAAGTTTGTTCAAATCATCACCTCTTGGGGTAGGGCGGGGTCACCACATAGAATCCAAGTTTTACTTAGAAATATTGTAATGATTTGTGGTAACTATAAACGTTAAGGAGACCAAGAATTAGGGTTAAATGGAGTAACCTGTCCTCCTTGTCTGAGTTGAAATAGACTCGACCAAAGTGTATAAATAAGAACGCACTGAAAGTATCAGGGTCTGTCAGTCGTATGCAGAGCTGCAAAGAAGAAGCAGTAGAAGAATTTGGGTAAGAATAAGAAAAGGTGAAATAAAAGTTATTAGTATACATTGCACCAGTGGCAAGAAACCCGGGGAATTGAGGCGAGATACTGAGGGCTGTAGATTAATGCATAAGAACGAAACTCCTAGTATCCGCCATCAATAGGAACCTGGGGCAAGGTACACGGTGCTTTGTTACCAAGTCATAATTTAACCACGCTTGTATATATTTTGTGATTAAAGAAATAATAGAATAACCCAGATAGGTTAAAGGAAAATTATTATATTGTAAATAGTTAAATTAATATATAGATCAAGTACTCAGATAGAGTAACTCAGATAGAGTAGGAGAAAAATTCATCCTCTATAAGAACCCTACGCAGGGGTATACGTTACAATATGTAGAAATATTCTTTAAAATCTTCTTTTCAAGAATGGCAAAGCCATGATTAGTCATATTCATATGGAAGCATTCCTAGGTAGTGTAGATTCAAGTTTGTCCAAGTCATGACCCCTGAGGAGGGGGGGGGGGGGCAATGTAAGTTCAAATGTAAAGGGCAATAAAGCCACAGGTACAACTGTAGTCAAAGAAATATGCAAACAATCTTATTTAGTGTAGATTTATGTTTGTTCAGATCAAACCCTCTCCCCTTTAAGGATTGGTTTGGACCATTTATATGGGTTTAAAATTTTCAATGATAAGCTGATTTCTGCTTTTTCCCAAGCTACAGTGCTCAGGGTCCGCCGTCATAAAACATACTTAAGTTTGAGAATGCTCTCAATTCTGAGTATTTTCTCAAATCCAAAATTTTCAGACTCAGCGGCCGTCATAATAAAGTTGAGAAAAATAAAATTTCCTTAAACTCTTTTATTCTCAAATTCTCAGCTGAGTAATTCTCAATAGTTGAGTTGAGAATATTTTTGAGAATTCTCAAAGTTTTATGACGGCGGACCAAGGTGAGCGATGTGGCCCATGAGCCTCTTGTTTTATTTATCTTGTAAGCTCACCTCAGCTGATGGCTCAAGTGAGCTTTTCTGATCAAAATTTGTCCTTAGCTTGTTGATGTCGTTGTTATTGTTGTTGTTAACTTTTTGTATAACTTCATCTTTTTCTCCATCATCATTTGTTTTGTTTTTTTTTCAATCAAATATTTTGAACAGATTGTCCTTATAGGTGAACAGAATTCGAGTTATTTTTTTTCAAACGACGGACCACGCCCTCTTACAGGGGCAGACAAACAATTAATTTATTCTTATATGTGTTATTCTTTATGCTGTACTGAAGGGCCCCAAATTGGTTCCAATAAATCTTATTTTATGTTCTCAAGAAAAACAAAGATGTGTTTAGTCATATTAATATAGAAGAATCCCCAGATATATAATGAAGATTCAGATTTGCCCCAATCATGACCATTATGGATAGGTTGAGACCACAAAGGACCATTAATTATATTGTAAAAGTTTTACATGGGAAAAATCTTCTCAAGAACACCAAAGAAATGATTAGTCATATCTACATGGAAAAATCTTGTGGTATCAGGTTGTTCAATTCATACGCTTCAGGATAGAGAGGGACCCAATGGTTGATCAAAGTTTTACAAAAGAATAGAAGATATTAAAACATGACATAAACTCTGCATTACCCACGATTAGTCATAGAATTTTGGGAGCATCCTCAGGTAGAGTTAGATCAAGTTTGTTCAAAATATGACCCCTCCCTTCACGGACCACTTTTATATTTAAGCTTCAATAATGACAGATTTCTTCATTTTCCTAGCCAAAATGCTAAAGCAAGCGATAAAAAGTAGCCCATGAGCCTCTTTTATATTTTTGTTTTAGACAGTATTTCCATGCCACAGAGACGTATGTCAATGAGTTCTCCAGATCTGACAAATATCTCTTACCAGAGCAGTCAGAATCGAATAAACGTTATATAAATTGTCTAGAGACTGTTGGTGATCGTGCACAGACTGTAAATTTACGACCTGACAGGTCTTTGTGTCAGGGTTGTTACGTACACGCATTAATACCATGAGAGTCAAACTAACATCTCTATTTACATGTACATGTAATGTTAGAAAATGCACTTGATTTCGTCCAGATTGACTCTCAATTAAGCTAAAAAAGTATTTCAAAGTATGACTGATTTTCATCCTTGGAGCTTGGAAATTTTGAAAGGAGCCAAATATTCCCCACAGATATTTTTAACAACAACAACAAAGAAGAAGAACCACCTGACATGTAAATACATGTATAAATGACCCGTGTTTTATTGAGGGGCGCAACATCATGTTTTCTTTGCTTTATTATGCAAATTGAAAAAAAAAATATCCCCCGCTATCTTTGTACTACGTTTAATAAATTTAATAGGTATACTTTTGTTTCAGTGCTTAATTGTGTTCTATTACTGAATGAAGATCATCTTTCTGACAGCATTTATATGTGATATTTTTTTCTGAAGCATAAACTCGTCACTGATTAATCGGTCTCTTGTTTTATAAATCAGTGGGTGAAACTCTACCATTCATCCAAATGAAAGGTGGCTGATTGCTAGAGCGCTGACCCTCAGTCATATTTACTGACCTTGCACTATTTTTTCAATAATAATAATTTCAATACATTCCTGTGGAGAAGAAAGTTCCTTATTTCCTATAGAGTCAATCCCTCAAAGGTTAATTATGTTTTATTTATATCATTTTAATGTTTGAATGACGTTGTTCCGCAAAATATTAATAAAACGCGTTTACATATCAAAATACAGAGCTGCCAACATTCTTAAATGACATATCAAAATATCATCTTTTTGAATACAGCATAATTGTACGTTGTAAGAAAATAATTGGACTGCCAGCTATGAAAATACCCTTTGAAAAATGTAAATTAATGACAAAATCAATTTTTGTACAAATAATTATACCCTTTGATCATGTAAATTAATGACAATCATTTCTTGTTTGATCATGATGACGCGAAAAACGGACGGGTATCATGGCTGTTTGACAGTTTTTTTTCAATATTTTTCAAGAGGAGCTAAACCGTATTCTGGATGTGGAAGTCGGGTCTTTAGTAAAATTTACTTACTTACTTACTTACTTAGGCCTCTTCATGCCATGTGGCACATAAGGTAGCCAAACAGTCCCCCCACCCAGTCCCATCTTTTGCTTTTCTTTCTATTTCTTTCCACGTCAGCCCAATCTAAATTTACTTATCCCTTACATCTTATCCAGGCATTCAGACCAATTTTAAAAGTGCTACTGTATCCAACCATTCCGAGGATATCATCGAAATTCAGAATAACAACCAAATAAATATACATATTTTTAAAACTTAGGTCAATTTTCAGCTTACCCAGAGATAGAATAGTAAGGTTATCATTTTAGAATGAATAACCACAGGCACCTGACGTTACTTATTTTTCTTTTAATTAAAAAATATACACATACCTAATAATAAACACCTGACGTTACTTATTTTTCTTTTAATTAAAAAATATACACATACCTAATAATAAACACCTGACGTTACTTATTTTTCTTTTAATTAAACACCTGACGTTACTTATTTTTATTTTAATTAAAAAATATACACATACCTAATAATAAACATTATATAAATTATTATTAGGTATGTGTATATTTTTTAATTACAAGAAAAATAAGTAACGTCAGGTGCCTGTGTGAATAAATAATATTAAGCATTGAAAGTTACAGGAACAAAGCATATGTTATTTGAACATAAGGTCCTTGTGTTCAATGAATTAATTCCTGCTTCCCTTTGATCCAATTTTATCACAAAGTAAAAAAATTATGTTTATCCATCGTGATGTTTTTTTCTTTATTAACCTAAAATGAGAAATATCACTATTTACCGACAAATTGGAATTATGTGGAACAAATTCTACATTTCACGCACATTATTGCTGCCATTCCTTCAATGCTATTGGAAAAAATGACTTTATTGCGTAATAAGCCTCTTATCTTTGTGAATTTGTCACATTCGTCTGCATTTTTGTTGAAATAAGAGTTAGAAGCCTAGACAGATGCAGTGCATTGTAAGAATTAATCAATTCTGCTAATTCTTTTTTTTATTAAAACTATTTCCCCATCCCAGAACACTTAAATTTTTCACGATATTGAAAACAAATTCCAAATAACCAGAAAACTACAATGGTTAAGGTTTGAATTCAGATACCACATCATATTTTTCATTCAAATATTGATTATCTCAAATTTTAATGATGTTAATAAATGCTTGATACATGGCACCTTAATACTTGTTCCGAAATTTAAACGTGAAACATTTTTCTTGATTTAAGATCATACTGGTTTCCATAGTTATTTTTTTAAATTCTCGATTTAGAGCAGGAAATGTAGAAACAAAATATCAATATTGATGTCTTTTATAAATAACACTGATACTTTTTATGATTTAATGAGCATTTTTAAGAGGAACAAAAATATTAGTTCTTCCGTCGAATACAAAAAGCATTAATTTTATAATAATTCAACTTGCAACAATGTCACGTCCATTACCGATGTTTTGACTCACGACAAAGAATTCTTTTGAAAGCATGTCTAAAATCCCGATTAAAAACCGTATAGATTATTGGATTCAGGGCAGAATTACAATAACCCGCCCAAAAGAAAACGTTAAACACAATGTCGGGAATACAGTGACACAATGCCGTTATAACATACAGGGTAAAAAAAGGAGCCCAGCAGACTATAAAAGTCGCCATGACAATTCCAAGAACTATCGTGGCTCTTCTTTCCCGCGCTTTTGCAATTTTGCGTTTTTGCCTTTCTAGGTCTTTAATGGTTTCATTAATGTCAGACTGATTTTTTCTGATTTCTCCAGGATCTGACGTCACGCGGGTAGTGACGGTGGTGCTCGATTCTTCGTCATTTTCTTCGTCTACATTATCATCATCATCATCATCTCCATTTTCGGTTTCTAACGGTTGGCCTGATTCATCTTGGTTAGAACTTTGTTTTTGATACATAGGCCAAGTACTTTCATCATCCGTTAAAGTCATACTATTGACTTTTACAGGCATATTCAATGTTTCTTCACCCTCTCCTTGGTTATTTTCCAAGAGACCATTTTGCTCTTTTTCGGACTTCTTAACTTTTTTCTTGGCTTTCTTCCCCTTTGGGGTTTGTTTCCTAGCACGCTCTTTTGCAGCTTGGTAAATTTTGTAATAAACGATTACCATGATAACCCCTGGTATGTAAAAAGACCCCATACAAGAACTAATGATATATCCCACTTCACTGCTAAGTAAACACAGTGGATAATCGGTAACCGGAAGTGGATTTTTCCACCCAATCAATGGAGGTACACAAATAATTAAGGACAATATCCACACGGCAGCAATCATGAGAGATGCGCGCGTCGCTGTTCGTTGTCTGGGATAAGTCAAAGCCTTTGTGATGCACCAATATCTATCCAGGCTTATAAGGCAGATGCTGAGAATGGAAGCGGTACAGAGAAGAACGTCTATAGCTTTCCATAAATCACACCACACAGAACCGAAATACCAATATCCCATCACTTCATTGGAAAGACTGAACGGCATTATTATCAAACCAAGCAGGAAATCTGCTACCGCCAAGGATGCAATGAACCAGTTTTGTATCAATTTTAAATTTTTATCTGTGTAAATGGCAATCACAACAAGTAAATTTCCAACCACAATAAGTAATATTATCGCCGTCACAATTACCACTGTCACTATCAAATGAACTGGGCTATATCCAGGCGGAAGTTCTATTCCGGAAATAGATTCGGAAGTAGTGTTCGAAGAATTACTCGGCGAAGAAGACATGTTTGAATTTTTACACTAAATGATTCTCCATCAAATCTGAATCAAAGACGTGTTTCACTTTTTTTAATTTACAGACAATGCCCATTCAGCTAAAAAGACGATGAAACATGCTTCACGAGCAAAATTAAGTGGTCTGAACTGCACAATTAAAGGAAGAATCCCCAGGGTTCCATTTCATAGTCCAGCGATGAAACGGATTTAATGAGCGAAAAATAGGGAAACGGAACCTCATTCTTATTCAACATCGCCGATATCCCACTTGTAGTTGAACTCATTGGGGGGAACCGATTAACAGGATTCATCGGAGCAGACGAGAAGAGCGGAACCGTCTGCGCGACAATCAAAGACTGATATCACCTGCAAAAAGAGAAGGCAGATTAACACAGGCGGTCAATATATCGATCTTAGAAAATTTAACAGTGCCTAGAGCCATTTATTACCTGTCATTACGGATCATTTACATATATTGAACCGTTAAACAATGTTAATTCGTATAAATGTTCAGTTTGATTAAGGGCCAATAAAGCAGGTAAATATTTTAAAAAGTTTTTCAAAAATCGATATATAAAAACATGCAATAATGGGCGGTAATTAAAATGTTCAGCTTGTTAGGATATTTAACATAGAAAGTCTCATGCGGTTTGTTGAATTTGAAAATGGATACTGTTGATTATTAATAAACATCTGAGACACGGGAGATGGCCAAAAATATTGAGACTATGGAAGTTTAATTTAAATGAAATATGATACAGGTACTATCCGTTGTAACAGATATATTGGGTGATGATTGAATTCCCAATATTCACTCTAGGGTAACAATTTAGAGATTGAGGAATGCACACTGAAACCTTAATTTGAAAATGTTCATCAATTTAGAACTACATTTGTTCATTTACATTACATTCAAATCGAATTTTGATCTCGGTCACCTTTTTATGATTATTTTCTCTAAAACGTCGGAACCGGGGGGGGGGGGGGGGCTTAGCCCCCCCTCCCACCTTTTTGCAAATATATACATAATATAGGCATTCAAAATTGGGGATTTCCTTTTTTTATTGGTTTAGCCCCCCCCCCCCCCACTTTCAATTTGCTTCCGACGCCTATGCTATATTTTCTTTCATTGCAGTCACAATGTTGCACTAGTATTATTTTATCATTCTTTCCTCTTTTCAATTTATCAAAAATGTAATTAAACAATCACGTACACACAATATAAAAAAGACTGTTACTTAAAACTATAGACTTTTGGAGCTGTAGTTGAAATGGTTGATATTAAAAAGTTGTTAAATGACTGATGCTCTAGCTCATATATCAGCAAGTGAAATACAGAGAAAAGAGGATATACTTTGTTGTTTCCGTGTTATTTCTCGATTTTCCTCTGTTCATTTAAATTTATTTTACTTTGTCAGAGAAATGTATTAAAGGCATAAATTATACCTAACTTGACTTAAAAAATTTCAACTTTAGACTTTTGGAGCTGTGGTTAGAATGGTTGGAACAAAATGGAATTAGAATTGCTAAAGGGCCAATGCTCTCATATTAACAAGTGAAATACCTTGAATAACTCACGCAAAAAAGCAATCACAAAGTTAACAGATTTGCACCTATTACGTAAAGGACCCCTAAATTATTCATTAGTAATTACAAAGAGTATATTAACATATTTCGGAAAAAAGAGAACTTAGCATGAAGTTTCATCCCATTATAAATAATCGACCATCATTGCATGCTATCCGCTTGTCAATAAAACGAGATTTATACGTGAAAAATTACGTTAACAATTCAAAGGATATAAAAGTGATAGCAACAAATGACTGACTGAAGATTTAAGACTCTGAGATAAAGAGAGAAAATTAATTAATTAATAATGTTTTAATCTCTAGAACAATGGCAGTTCATTCCATTACAGATTTTGTTCATCTTTTGTAACATTCTTGATATTTTCTGCTGTGAAAAAAATCATATCTATTTTATTTAAAATAGATCATCAAAAATCATTTCGTTTGGGGATTTATTTCAATTGATTCACAGATTTATCATCATAATGTAAAATTGATATAAAATCATTGATCGTTCCACCGAGGACATCATGCTTATTTCAATTGATTCACTGATTTATCATCACAATGTAAAATTGATATAAAATAGAAATGTGATTGCTTATTCTTTATTATGTGACATTCTTTTTATATGGAATATTTATAACACATGCTTAGCTTTGTACAAGCCACACCTCATAAATTTTTCATTTCACATGCTGAATACTATCATTTAGTTAAAAAAAAACACTATAAACGATACACACGAGGCAAATGGATCATTATATTATTAGGTATATATTCATCGGTGTCAAAATTTTACACAATCCACGCTGTTTGTTTTATATAGCCTTTATTTTCTAATAGATGTGATAAGAACATAATACATTTTTCATTGTGTGGGATTATTAATAAAACAAACAATTGAGAGACTAGGGAGTTTTGGTATAAGATTACATTACATAAGCCCAAAATTTGAAATAGCGGAAATGATAGTGTTACACACAGACAGAATGTATAAATTTACGACCTTGAACTTTGTCAAAATAATAGGCCACAGTTGTTATGTAAAATTTCTTTTAAATTCTAGAGATATCGTGTGGAAACGAAAGTGTTATAACAGACAGAATTTGCTAATTTATAACCTTGACCTTTGACCTTTTGACCTCAAAATCTAGGCCACAGAGAGTTTCTATTTAAATTTCATTGCAAAAAAATTTTAATCGTGTGGGATTACTAATAATCTGCTTGCTGGTTTTTGAAGACAAAAAACCCACTATAAACGATACAAATGGAATACGTACATGTAAACCTAGAACACAAAATAATCACATATTATCTTTTAAATTTCTTTGTCTGTTTCATTTTTTCACTTGAAGTTGAAAAATTTTAAGGGATTACTAATAATCTGCTTGCTGGGTTTTGAAGAAGAAACCTAGAACACAATCAATTTAGTTATCAATGAATTTAATTGCTACCAATTTGCCATCATTCCAGATAATTTGATCAATTGTATTTATTTCTCCAAAAGAAAATTTTCCTATTAAATGCTTCATTCAAGAAACTTGAAAGGTTGTCGTTCTACAGCCGTATTGACTATGAGGTCAAACAAAGTTATACGAGAGACATGCATTTTTCAAAATAGATTAAACATGAAAAAAATCGTCGAAAGTTTCTGTACGAAAAATAAGAAATTGGATCCATGGTGCGATGAAAACTGGAACCGAATTCGTGTAGGCGTAAATGATGCAGTACCCTTTCTGATGGTATTTGGTCGACTGTTCTAGGCATTGTAGGATTTCACGGATTAAGTCTAGCGTTAGACATTGTACATCTAACATATTGAAATATAGAGAATCTAACGCTTTATTGTGGTTTATCAAAAGTTCAGTGGAATGAATCCCAGCCAGTTCTTTTGGGGCTTACATGAGAAACCCGAAGGATTACAAAGGATCCCACATCAAATGATTTTTATTTTGAATTCTAATATGTGTTTGCTGGCAATTTGTGTTAAAAATGCCCTCCAGATGCAAAACAGGATAGAATAAATTCCATTAATATTTTCAATTTACGAAGTCAATATATTGAAACTTTCATCCTGTAACTTGTTTCCTTTACTGTATCTTATAATCAGATTATATAGTCAATAGGTTTTCAGAAGCCCAATAGTTTAAATATTAATTACTACAAATTTTGCATTATAAAAGTTTGAGATCATTGACCCTGTCTAAACTGATGGTTATTTATAAGTGCACTAATAATAACCAAGACAAAATTGAGGTATATAGTAAAGTAACATATTTATATATCAAATACATCATTAAAAGGTTTTTAAAAGTAAAATATTCAATTTTTTCAAATACGAAAAATAAACCTTCTATCATTACTCCAGCCCAGGCCCAGGGCCATAAGACTTCTGAAGCCCGTTTAACAAAAGAACTTACGACCTAGACCAAACAATTAAGTTGATTTTTAAAAAAAAATTCTAAATCAAGTGAGTTTAAAATCATGAAAATATCTTACTACATTACTATCAAAAATTTTAAAACCATTTTCAATTTAATTCAAATAAGAAAGTAATAAGAAGTGAAAATTCTGGTCTTAGACGTAATTACATTCTTTCGTAAAACGGACCCCAGTCTCACAAACTACAGACCGAATTAATGGTGAAAAAGTGAGAATAAGATCAAACGTATAAGTTCCTCTTAGTACTCTGGTTTAAGAGAAAGGGCAAGTCCTTTGAAAACAACAAACATAAAGTAAAAGATGCTTGCATGTACATGTACATTTGAAAATCCTTGCCATGTGCTTCTTGGTTTAATTAGAAATACACATACACATTTCCATTTTTGTTTTTTTTTTTTAAACACTTAAACACGTTAAAACTGGTTTGAATATGAAAATTTTATATAAGAATTTCACTTATCCTATTGTTAATTTAGAAATGGAAGTCAATTGCAACTTTGTTCAGACCTAAATCAAATAAAATCTAGCCTTGTGTTTTGAAACATGTCAAATTCGCCAATTCAGTCAAATTACATTGGCAAGCAAAGAATAACACATGAAATTTACAAACATATGTTGCATGTAAACAGAAATATTCCTTATATTTATCAATTTTTGGAAACCTCCGAACGACATAATCAAAACAAATTACATGATTTGACAAATGTAAATCACTTGGATAAATGGGAAGTATGGCACATTTCAATTCCACCAAGGAAGAAGAACAAAAATCAATTTATAGAATTTTGCTTTACTCATTATCCCAGATGGTTATTAGACAACATTGCAACCCTTTGGAATCCTTCATGACAAGGCCATTGCCATTAGTAAATAATGTATTATGTAACAAGCATTCAGTTCTAAATTTCTTGAAAAAATCATTGTCTTTCTATAGATTCTTTGTAAAAGTTACGTATATCCGTCCTCTACAAAATCATAACCAACTTACATAAAAACGCTGTCTTTTAAATAAAAGCAATGTTGCATCTAATTTCATTGCAGGCTTAACTGAGAAACACTGTCATGCAATCGTGACCTTGATGATAGATAACTGTGATCATAATATATTTTCGTCATGGGATAAGCCAATATCCATATCTGCTATTCATACTCATTAAAATTGCATATCGTACATTTGATAACAATTGGGAAGAAGCAATTTGAGTTTATGATTGAACCATTGTGTTACACTATTTAGACTGAAGGCAAATTCATTTGTACTGGAGTTGGGAGTTGGTATTTTTTATTTTTACCGTCAATTAAAATGACTTATGTTAGACTATAATAATGTTACTCAAATAAAAATGCACAAGG